GGCCGCCTTTGTCTCCCTAGTGGCGATGTTTACTACACACCGCACCAGGTACTCATTTGAGGATGAGTCGACCTAGGGGAGGCCCAGGACAGATTCAGATGATCGTCACCGGTGTTGTCCGTGAGCGGGAATCGAACTCGGGTCGCCGGGTTCGTAACCTGGCGCTTACCATTGCACTACCGCTCCCTGCGAAAACACACACACATGTACACAAGAGCACACAACACTCAGAGCTCCACACAGATAGATTCAATAATCCATCCATCACAATGTGTCCATCAGCTCTGGTCGCACAGTGGTCGGGGGTGGCGGTGTTTATCAACATTTAACTGGGGGTAGGAAGACGGGGAGGGGGGGCACCGATTGGGGTGTATGGTGAGGGGCCTTACGACCCATCGAACTTCTCCGCATCACAACTCGCCGATGGGGGGGGGGGGTGGGGGGGGTATCAAGTTCCATGGTCACCCAGCGTCGCACGCGAGAACCGCCCGTGTCACCCTCCCTCTCTCGCATCCCTTCACTTCCGATGAGCAAGGTTGGCTACGCGCGGCGCGAATGAATCCAGGTGTGACGATGGGCGCAACGTACGAGGAATTCTACTTGCTTGGGATTGCTCACGGGGTTATTGTCCGACACTCGGTCAAAGTTCAGTCTTTTCGTGGACCCAGGTTCGTCGCAGCAGGGAGTGCGAGCGCGTCGTGACGCCGAGATGCGACCTGTGTTTGGTGGATTGTTCGGCCTACGGGGAGCGGCGGTGTTGTGGTTAGCGCATTGCACTACGAATCCGGTCAGCCGAGTTCCATTTCTGCTTACGACCAACAGGCCAACATCGGTGGCGAATGCCTGAACCTGTCCTGGCGCTATCCTAGGTCGGCTCAGCCTTTAATGAGTACGTGGTGCAGGGGTTTTAACTTTTGCACTGGAAAGATTGAGAGCGTGGTGCTGGCCACCCACCACCTAACCGTGTTGGGTTGACCTTCATAGATGCTCGCTGAGAGCACTTGCCCCAATAGTATTTTAAAGCTATACGGGGAGAGGGGGATCTTTGACCTTGTTACATCGTGAAAGATATCCGGCAACGGCTTGGGGAAGTCTTCCTCCAGCAGTGGATCAATCATGGCTGATGATGACATGCCGCTATGGAACGATGGGCGTTCAATGTGTACGTTGAGTGTCACAAGGTAAAATGTAGTCATGCATTTGACGATTCCACAGTTTCGGAGTACTGTTGGACTTTTATGTGCATTTTATATTAATTATCTATATTTAATATATGTACTGTATATAGAGCTATGCTGTTACTGGAACATGACTGTAACATTTAACTCTTTAACCCATTCCCCCCACCTTCCGAGGCTTAATATATCTCCCCACAAAATGTTACGCGCAAACACATACCTGTACACACACACACACGTGCGTGCTAAGACACACACACACGGACACGTCTACCGCAGTTGTACACACGCACCCACACGTGTACCCGCATGCACATCAGCGCACATACCCCATTACACACACAAGTGTGTTCACAGACAAAGATCCCCCGTATAGCCTTCACAGTCTGTTGAGGCAAGTGCTGTTATCGAGGACCGATGAATGACGGCACGGCACACGAGGGGGTCGGTGGCCAACACCACGCTCGTACCGTCTTGTCACGTTAGCACCAGGTCCACATTTAAGGCTGAGTTGACCTCCGGGAGGCCCCGTAACGGGTCAGATTTCTTTCCCTCTTATTGGCCGTGAGCAGGATTCGAACTCGAGTTGCCGGGTTTGTAGCAATGCGCTAACCACTCCGCCACCGCTCCCCACAGCCAGACACGCACAAACTCATATTCAAATACACATATACGGACATGCGCCTGTAAGTGATTGTGCCAGGCTAGGTGCACTTTGAGTCCACATCAAGAGTCGCGGTCACAGGATAAACCCAGGTGTTTAGGGTTCATTGACTATTCCGTAAGCAGGTTTCAAATACGTAGGCGCAAATACACACGCACACATACCCATATACATATACACATATACAGTGGCCATACACACACACATATACAGCTCCGACAGACCGACACAAAAACCTGACAGTTTACAATTAATGCAAATGAACAAGTATATATTATCATCATCATCTTGAGTCATGATCAATCTACTGCTGGACGAACACCTCCCCACCCCGTATACATATCCCCGATCCTCAGATGCAATCGTACACTATCGCATGGTGCCGTGTATAATCACTATTATAATCACATTCATCTTCAATATTTTATAATTAGCTGTGTCTCGTAACAATCACGCAATACGAGTACCGTGGCGAGATACGCCGGACTGTGTGTGAGTCCACCACTTATAATGTGAATAGTGATGTTTTTGTTTGTTTAATATCATCACGCACGTTCACGCACACGTATAGCGGAGCGGTGATGTGGTGGTGTGCGCGGTGCGCTAGCAACCCGGGCCGCATGAGTTCGATTCCCGGAAACCTCGATGCTTCCCCATTCACCAACCGAGCATTGGTTTGAAACATCGCATCCTATTTATTTCACTAATATTATCGTCAGTTTTTTTTTATTTTTATCATTAAACATCGTCTACAATGTTTAATAGCGACCTCTTCATAGCGTCAACCAATCCGTCAGCTGCCACAATCGGGAGGCTTTGGCTCAAGCCACTTCTAGATGACGACGCCGCCGACAAATGTGTCTCTCACGCTCCTGCCCGCGGAACGACCGACTCAGCAACCCGCGAGCGGCCGATTCGATCGTCGCCGCGCGCATCCGCGGTGTAAGTTCCCTCGTCGTGATTCATCTTGCCCACGGAAACGACCACAATCCACTCCTTGCGTGATGACGCGCGCGGATGCCTTGAATGTTCTTTATCTCCTCGGAGAGGCGATGCCTTGGCTCCCCTCCTCCTCCTCAATCGTTCATTTCCTTTATTAATGTATCAGACGCAGATCCTCGTGGACTGTTCAGATGCATAGATGTGTTTGTTATGCATTAATCATGAAGACTTGTGGGTTATTAATTCCAACATTAATTTATGCTCTTTGAGCCGATAGCCAGAGAGAGGCACGCATCCCTTTCATTGGCTCAAGAGAAATGCATTTTTTAAAAGGAAAGTGTCGGTGTGGAGTTCGCAAATATTCATTACTGTTTGAGATTATTTAATACATTTGTGCCAGTATATTTTTTATATAATGTAATTCGCCATTAACGATGCTTTATAAAATATAAAAGCGTAACGAGCTAACGTTTCAGGGATTGACCCTTGAGGATGCTGCTGCTGCTGCGTTGACAGTGATGCATAAACATCACAGACAGACACAAACCTCGACACATTTGTCAATAACATCATAATGTAAACAATATAAAATAGGCGACGTTTACGGGCAATGAACCTTCTTCATAACACGTCATCTACAATTGGAGACGACCAAATATTAGCCCACGAGATCTTTCCCGAGGTAAACTAAGGGCGCTAATCTAGCAGTGGCTGTTGATGTTGATGAGGATGATGAAATAGAGGACGTTATTATACATGCTGAAGATGGCGAGTTAACTTCACACATGTACTGCGTGTTATTTATATCGCGTTAGGAAATTCGCGCGCTCACATTCTATATGGTCAGCGTGGTAAAGTATGGCCATCACCCCCCCCCCCCAACCCCGCAGGACAACAGCTTAGGGAAGACCTCATCCAGCAGTGGATTAACAAACAAAAAAACATATCTGTGCTTGTGCTGCATTTTATATTGGCAGTAAACTTAGTTCGTGAGCAGGCGAGAGAGACGGCATTGTGAAATTGTCATTCACTTGTTTACCCAGAGGATCCTGAGTCCCATGGCTCGCTTTCAGGAGGGTCCTGCCGAGGCGTCGCAACGCGGAGCGATGCTCGCTATGTGTCTAGCGACTGAGTCATTTGTTTGTGCGTACGTATGCGTGTGCTATATATAGCAATGCGCTACGCACCCGGCGACCCGAGTTCGATTCCCGCTCACGGCCATCAACACCCGCGACGATTATTTGAACCGGTACCCGGGTCTCCGCGAAGTCGACTCAGCCTAAAATGAGTACCGGGTGCGGTGTGCAAACATCGTCACTGGGAAGACAAAGGCGGTCGGGCGTGGTGCTGGACACTCTCCGCCTCGTGTAGAGTGCCGGCCTTCATAGGTGCTACTCGCTTACTGCACTTGCCCCAACAGTCTGTTAAGACTATTCAGTGGATCTTTGCCTTTGCACACAGGTTCAAAGAAAATTGCCCCCGTTGTGTACGAATTTACATACAAAGACAACGATCGCCCGTCTAGCCTCGACTGACTGTTGGGGCAAGTGCTGTTAGCGAGCAGCACTACCGGATGAATCGCCACTGCGACTCCCGCTGTGCACGTCGCGTCTATCATGTCGTGGGCACCAGGCAGCAGTAGGGCACAATGCGTTGGTGGTACTGTACTTCTATGCTCCATCGTATGCAGTATATGCAACACCAAACTCGGCGCGGACCAGGGTGGTGAAGTATGGTCATTTTAATCTACGCAAACCCGCTCCAGCTGATAGGGAAGTTCTCACGACGTCTCCGGACTGTCAGCTAAACATTTACTGACGGCCGCAGGTCACCGGCCTCTGTTCTCGGTCATGGGAAGGTTTTTATGTTCTTTTTGTACATGCCATACTTCACCACGCTGGTCATTGCGAATTGGTGAAGAGAAGTGCGGAGGACGGAACCGGCCGGTTCTGATGTCACTAATGTCCGCTCGACGTGGCCAGGAATCGAACTCGGATCTCCCCGGTTCAGTTCGGGCAACGCAGAGCAGCGCGCTAACCACTGCGCCACCGCTCCCCACTGGTATATACAGCTTCTAATTATTTTATTGGGCTCGGAGAGCGGCTGTGTAGACAGACCTCCTTAACCCCTACCCGCCCCACGCACCCCCCCCCCCCACGCCCCAACTCCTCCAACCCCACCGCCTTAATTGATTGGCCACCACTTTGTGTTTTCGGCCATAAACGCCCTCCAATTTATTCGCCAGACAAACTCGGGGCCGTAAAGGAATAAATCGGCGCAGTTAAAAGGAAAATCACAGAGAACCAACCGCAGGGGGAAATAGAGAGAGAGAGACGCAGCGTGCCCCCCACCCCCCATACAGTCGCTTATGATGGTGGTGGTGATAGTGGGGGGGGGGGGTTCCTTTGCCTAAACAAACTCGGCAGCTTGTAAATGTATCCGTGTGCCCGTGTGAGTACAGCCGAGATGAGAGCACGGGCGTAAAGGATGCACCCACGGACGCACGCGCGCGCGCGTTGAACGAGAGAGAGAGAAAGTGGCGGGGTGGGTGTGGGTGGTGAACGCGCGTTCTGAGTGAGATGCGAGCGGCTTGCCCACCACGAGGGCCCCGCGTGTCTCCATCCTCCTCCTCCTCCCTGAGCGCCCGATCGTGTGTGGGAGTCACTGTTTGAGGGCGGTGGGGTGCCGTGTACTCTTGATTGCACGACGCTTTCGGACAGTGAGACGCACCTGCAAGCCTCTCTCCCCGGTGTCTGTTAAAGTGCTCGCAGGTCTGGTCACGCGCATGCGGCTGCTACCGGATTATAAGATGCACCTCCCGTGCCCCCCCCCCCCCCCCGCTCCGCAACTATTGCTTTAAAATAAAGTGCGTCTTAAAATCCGGTGAATGCGGCGATGATGATAATGACGAAGAGCCATTTTTATTAATCTACTGCTTGATGAATCGTCCCGCCCGTCCCCGCCACACACGCGAAGGGTTGTTTGACCATACTTCACCACGCTGGTCCGTGCGGGGTTTGGTCAGTGAAGTTTTCTGAGCACTCTTTTGGACACCGCTGATGTAATTGGATACCGTGGCCGGGAATTGAACTCAGGTGGGACGGGTATGGAGCGTAAGCTCGTGGGATCCTGCGTCAACGCTCTCCCGAAATTTCAAATATTTACACGCAGTCTGTAAATGCAAATACATGTATATACACACGTACAAAAAATACAAAGACCCCCCGAGTAGCCTTAACAGACTGTTGGGGCAAGTGCTGTTAGCACCTATGAAAGACGGAAAAGCACACGACAGGGTGGGTGGCCAGCACCACGCCCGACCGCCTTTGTAGCAATGTATACACACCACACCAGGTACTCATTTGAGGCTGAGTCGTCCTAGAGGAGGCCCCTGACCGGTTCAGATAATCGTCACTGGGTGTTGGCCGTGAGCGGGAATGGAACCCGGGTCGCCGGGTTCGTAGCGCAGAGCGCTACCTGGTACACTACCTCTCACTACGAAAACATACACTGTATATACACACACACGCACGCGCGCGCGCATATATATACTTACAATAATACATACAAGCAGATGCGCGTACACATCCAAGATAGACAAAGATCCCCCGTGTAGCCTGAATAGGCTGTTGGGACAAGGGTTGTCAGCGAGCACCTATAAAGGTCGACATGGAGCACAAGCGGGATAGGTGTGACCATAATCACGACCCGGCCGCCTTTGTCCCCCAAGTGCCGATGTTTACGCACACCCCCACCAGCTACTAATTTAAGGTCGAGTCGACCTAAGGGAGGCCCAGGGCCGCTTTAGATATTCGCCGCTGATGTTGGCCGTTAGCGGGGATCGAACTCGTGGTGTCGGATTCGTCGCAAGATATATTCACACAGACACGAATGTGCATCAATGTACAGTATATATACACTTACAAATATAAATACATACACACACGTTTGCGTAAGCCCGTTAAACATAAACTCACACACACACGTGCGCACGGAGTTAATGTTGTGTTCCATGTGCACACTGATCAGAATGGTGAAGTATGGTCTAGCAACCTCCATGACCAACTCGGCGTGAGAAGGCCGTCATCCAGCAGTGGAGTTGAAAGTTACGTAATCTGATTCGATGTGTTTGTCTATGCCACTGATAACCTCGTGTCTGCCCAGTCACCATTCGCTGCGTTTTTACGGCATTGCGAATGAAATCGTCACATAAAAACAAATTGCGTGTAATAAGTTAATGTTTTTTATATATATAGATGAAAATGCAAAGCTTCATTCAAAAGCTGGGTTTTGCCCCCACCCGGCACACCACATCCAGTATACACATCGCCTGAGTCACATGCCACCAACTCCACTCTACTGGGGACTCGCAAATGATTGAACGGAAATAAATCCCGTAAAACAAAAACAAACACACGTACGAAAACGCAATCTTACAATACATCGCACGGTGTAGAATAATAATAATAACGATCACGCTTTCATTAAATAATCAATCTACTGCTGGATGAACGCCTGTCCACGCGGTTTGGAGGCTGAAGCGATATATTTCAACCAAGCACGGGGTTCGGATAGCACTGTCAGGGAATCTAGCTCATGCACAGCGCAATGCGCTAACCGCAGCGCCACCGCTCCCTCCCGATTAAACAATAACAGCAGCAGCAGCATTAAAACATTACACGCGTGGCAAGTGTACTGAACCGTGCATGGTCGGGAGAAGTTAATGCACAGGTATATATACTCCCTGCGGCGATGGCGTTTAGCCGCTAATGAATGTTATTGGTGTGTGCGCCTGCTGTGGTGGTGGTGGTTGGTTGTGGTTGGTGGTGGTGGTTGGTTGTGGTTGGTGGTGGCGGCGTTGCCAAGCTTTCTAATCTAATCGCGCAAACATTTTTTTTTTTTGCCAAACAAAGTGGTCGTCCGGGGTCTGTCCGTGAGCGTCCTTGACGTTTTGATCTGCCGATGCCTAGTTGTCACTGGCAGTCTGGAGGGTTGACCCCCGAGACCGGCCCCGTCTCTTCTGACCCCCCCTGCTCACTCACGCCCCCCCCCTCCGCTAAATCCCTAACCTCTCTCTAACCCTATCTCTCTGCCGCACTCCGCGAAGTTGACACTGAGTGGACACTGACCAAGCAGCCACCCCCTCCCCCCCCCCCGTTCCCGAGCGGCGGAATAACCCATTAAAGTATTGGAGCTGTGTTTATTTATTATTATTATATACAGAAAGCGTCTCTCTGAGATGGCTTCGGGATTGTGCCCGCGTACGGCGTCCCACGTTGCCGCATAGCATTGCTAGGAGATTCTTCTTCTAATTCATCATCGTCTTCTTCTTCTTCTAATTCTACTTCGGGAACTGAATATGGGTGCGTGGAGCGAACCGTCGGACAACGTGCCTCGCAACACGCGCTGCAAACCGAACACACATCGAGAAGCTTACACAGCGGCAGGGAAACTCTTCGCTGTCATTACGCAGTGTATAGACCTCTCTGTACACACACGGTATATGCAACGGCAAGGATCGCCCGTGTCAAGCCTTCAGTGAGTTTTGGGGCAAGCGCTTCGCGAGAATCTACGAAGGTCTGAACGACAGACGAGAGGGTGGGCGGCCAGCACCACGCCAGATCCACATTTGTGTTTACACACTCAGCCTTGCTATGTTTACACACACCGCCACATCAGCTACTCGCGTGGGGCTGAGTCGATCTAGGGGGAAGCCCAGCACCGGTTCAGGTAATCGTCACCGGTGTTGGCCGTGAGCGGGCATTTAACCCAGGTAGCCGGGTTTGCAGTGCAGCGCGTTAACCACTACGCTGCCGCTCTCCATATATACTATGCTGCGCGCACACACACGCACACGTGGGTAGCAGTGGTGCAGTGGTTAGCGTGCTGCGCGGTGGAATCTGTAACCTAAGTTGGATAGCTGGCCATGGCGAGCTCACTATCAGTGGCCAGTAAAGCTGCGTGGTGGGAAGGACAGCGCAGTACAGCAACATCAGACTAATATTCTTAGGTTTTTTTCGGTAAAGTCACGTGGGTAAAAATTTTAAATTAATAAAAGTAAAATAAAACAAAATAAAAAATCACGACGTTTCATGAAGCAACACAAGCCTCCGTCTTCAAGTGGAACCGTCACAGCCACGACAGCTGTATCAAGTAAATGAGAGATCACAAGAAATACCACCCCGTATATATAATGGTTGAGGGGGGAAGGGCCAGGAACGGCACACTTTTTATTAATATGGTAAGGCTTCAGACTAATGTTAAAAAGAATCGATTAATCGAGTTTCCTGGCTGGCTGCTGTCTGGACACCTCTTCACCCCCAACGACGTCTCTCTGTTGTTTGTGTCTGCTGCTGGCCATGGCCACCGAAACTAGCTGGGTAACTGTCTAAACGAGATTTTCTTTGTAACAAATAAACGTTGGACCCGATTGAAACATGGGCAGAAGACGTTCAGAAGAAGTTTAATAATCATAATAATGATTTGAGATTTTTAGTTTATTTTGGTGCTCTGAATGTCCAAATGATGGGTCACTTTGTTGAGCTATCATTTGGCAGGTCGCTTCTGAAAGATAAGTTACTACCTCGGTGGTAGGATGGGGATGGTTTAGTGTTGTGTTTGTTTGTGTTTGGGTGATTTGTTTACCTTTCTTGTACTTTTCACTCCTGTTGTGTTTTTGTCCTGTTTGTTGTTGTGACGTTCTTACCCCGTGCCCTGCCTGGACATCTGTAAAAAAGAGCTTCATAGCTCATCGGATTCCTCCTGCAGTACAAATACATATTCGGATTCTGAGATAGTAACACCGGGGGTAACGAAAACACGGAAGACTGACCACGGTTCGTTTCAAATTTGCTCTAACTTTTCAACGTATGCTATTGTTTATACATTTTCACGAGAATATTCTTGAAATCCTACAGGACATAACAAAAAAAAACATTTCACAATACGTATTATCTTAGCATGTTATTACTTTTAATTTCTCTGAATTGTCTTACATATTCCGTTGCAGAACGACGAGTTCTCTGTCTGGATATTTTTTGTTCATGAAAATATTTCAGGTGGATAATGCCTCGAGATGGAACATCTCGTTTCCCGACCCTCCGATGAACACGGTTGGCCAATGTACGGTGCGAAAGAAGCTCAACATACATAGTCACACCGGAGTGTCCTGGATACGCATTGTGTACCATAACATCAATGCTACAAACCCCGAGTATCCAGTATGGTCAAGAAACCTCCCTCCCTTCTCCGCACAGTGTGTGGGGGAGAGAGGGCTTCATCCAGCAGTGGATTGTGCTTTACACTGCCCTTTCACCATGTACACATGCACACTGCGTGTGTACACGTTCATTGTGTTACCACGGCTATAGCTAACATCAGCTGCATTTTTAAAAAATCCTGGGCTTCTTCTAGATCGACTCAGCCTGAAGTGAGTACCGTGTGCAGTGTGTACTGTTGAAACGATTGACTCGTTTACTGATTCGAGCCACTCCATCTTCTCGTGCGCCCTGCCGACCTTAATAGCTAGTCCACTCGCTAACCAGCCTCTCGAAAACGGCATTTGTACCGCGTAATATTCGTGACCATTTTTTTTACAGCGGCACATTCTTCGTAGCGGAGACGGACTCGTGCCTCGAAACGTCGAGTTATTACGAGGGTGCTCCTCCATAGGCGGTGCTAGTGATGAGAGAGTTGCGTTTGAGTGTCAGTGCTGCGTCCGCTGCCCAACGCAGTTGATGGGTTCTGCCGTGCGCGACATGGGGTCGAGTTTGGCGAACGCGTGAGAAAACACGCGTTTAGAGTATCTTGGCCTGCTATGAATGTCCAAATTATGATGAAACCACTTCGCTGAGCAATCATTGGCCACGGGCAGGTGGCTGTGTAACTCGGCGGAGAATTACGTGGTAAAAAATAAAATACAAAAATAGTGATGGTGTGGTTTTGTGTGTGTGTTTGTGTGTGTTGATGGCAAGTTAACTGCTCATGCCATCGGCGAGAACGCGAGCCACGTGACCGTTTCTCGCGCGCGTGACATCAAGGAGGCGCGCATTGCCTCCGTCATTATCGCAGCGTTGAGATTGGGACTTCAAAGTAAATTAGTTTTTTGCGCGAGTTTTTATTTTTATAATTTAAATAATAATCTATCCATCTTTCACTTCACCCCCCCCCCCCCGACACCCCCCTTAGCTTGGAAGCCTTCTTTACGGTTCGCGCGCTCGTGTAAAAAATAAAAATCCCGTGTAAATTAAAGACAAAGATCCTCGTATAGCCTTTACAGACTGTTGGGGCAAGTGCTGTTAGCGAATTAGCACTTGAGAATGCCTGGACGGCACGGGAGGGGGTGGGTGACCAGCACCACGCCCGGTGGTAGTGTAGCAATGAGCGCGCCCGATCAACCGAGTTCGATTCCCGTTCACGGCATCCTCTAGGTCGACTCAGCCTCACATGAGTACCTCGTGCGATATATCGTCACTAGGGAGACAAAGGCGGCCGGACAAATTACACAACATTTTATAGACGACAGAGGATGGCGGTATCATGATCATCGATTATCTATCCACTGTTGGTTGAAGGCCTTCCAAAGTCGTTATACCATGTCGGGTCCACACCTGAGCGATCGGTTGCATGCAACTCAATCGCTTTTACGTGCACTTCTCTGCAACGAGTTGCGCGCAGTTGCGCCAGCAATGAGACTTTCGTTTCATGCATCGATCCGCTCAGCGATTTGCACCGACGACGCATTTCATCATCGCCAGGTGCTGCACATTTGCCAACTATCGATTGGTAGCAGGTGACACTTTAAGTTGCGCGATTTCGAAGAGGGATTTAGTTGCCCGGCTGATCGCTGGGGTGTCTACCTGGCTCCGTAGTCCACCCGGCACTTCCACCTGTGCACAATCGGTGGTCACGAATTCACTGCCGCTCGCTCCGCTGTTTCTATTGCTGCCGTGGGCAGCAACCTCGGCTCCTTCCCCCCCACACCACCACTCACTCACCGTTCCCCCTACCCCCTTAACCCCTCCCCTCGACTCCCCGTGTCCCCCCTTAGACCCCCTCCCCCCCCCCGGAGCGCAAAGGTCAAGCGGTCGTGGGATCAGGTCAGGGCGCATGAAGGCTGCGGCTCCCCCCGCGCGGCACGGATCGTGCTCGCTCGCGATGGTTGTCAGAGGTGAGCTTCGCTTTGTGAATAATTGGATGTTTTGGTAAAAGGTTAAATCTACACCCTTAATTCATTACGCGCTGTACAAGGGTACTCTTTGAGAGAGAGAGAGACGGTGGTGGTTGTGTATATACGTGTGGTGTGTGTGGCGTTTTGCGGGGAGCGGTAGTGCAGCGGTTAATGCGCTGTGCTAGGAACCCGGGCCACCCGAGTTCGATTCCCGCTCATGGCCAAAACCGGTGGCGATTATCTAAACAAGTCCTGGGTCTCTCCCTAGGTCAGGGGTCGGCAACCAAAATAACAAGAAGAGCCATTTCTTTCCAATTCGGTACAAAATTCAGTATTTCAAGAGCCGCAATGCATCTGAGTACATACTGTTCATACGTACATATCGTCAAGAAGCAGCCCGTAAAGAGCCGCATACGGCTCCGGAGCCGTAGGTTGCCGACCCCTGCCCTAGGTCGACTCAGCCTCAAATGTGTACCTGGTGCCGTGTGTAAACATCGCCACTGGGGGGACAAATACGGCCTTGCGTGGTGCTGGCCACCCACCTCCTCGTGTGCCGTGCAGGCCTTCATAGGTGCTCCTCGCTAACAGCACTTGCCCCAACAGTCTGTGAAGCCTATATGGGGAGATCTTTGTCTTTGTGTTCTTGCTACGCGTACACGTTACGAACTTTTACTGCAAGTTGACTCTATCACGGGCTCTAGAAAGTGATAACGCGGTTGCTGTGTTAGTACCCGGCACGGCCGTGTTCATAGCGCGATGCGCCCACGCACTGCACCACCACTTCGCCTAACACCAGTGGCGGGTGAAATCGGAGCCGGTCCTGGGCACTCCGCTTCACTATCCCGCATTGACCCACGTGGTGAAGTATGGTCAAACAACTCCCAAGACACGGGGTCAGCCTTCACCCAGTGGATTGATCAAGGGATGTGCGTTGCATTTTTGTTACTTTTTTTAAAAGCGACGATCTATCATACACGGCGACACTTCGGGTGATACAAATATCCCCCCGTATAAACTGCGTTAGCGAGCGCCTATTGAAGCCGTGGGATGATGACGCGACGGCTGATTCACTGCGCCGTAAATCCGATTTTGAGCGCGGCTAACATCAGCCGCAAATTGCATACAAACGGGTCAACGGGTCTCCCCCGCGGGTCGACTCAGCCTTAAATGAGCGTCTGGCGTGATGTATAAACCAACCCTAACCCCCGCTGACCCAACGGCGTAGGGCAGGATAACTCCATCCAGCAGTGGATTGGAAAGGGGCTGAAAGAATTACAGAGGGCCACGCCTGGCCGCCTTTGTCTTCCCAGTGCCGTTGTTTACACAGCGTACTCATTTTAAGGCTGAGTCGACCCAGGGGGGGGGGTGCTCAGAACCGGTTGGTATATCACTCGACAACAATATACAACCCCCCCCCCCCCCGTGTATGTTCCTATGGCTATTGTTCCACGCTGGTTGCCAGATCCATTGTTTGAGAGCCGGGGGTTATCTTGAAATCTCGCGCGCGATGCTATCACGCGCGGCATGTTATCACGCCACGTGTACAATGGCGCGTCGATTATGCTGATTGGCGTGCGTTAAATATTTTGCTGGAAAAAAATTCTCAGTGGCGACAGTCGAGAGCGAGCGGTTTTTTTTTGCTTGCGTTAGACACGGACGTGTGTACCGGGTCTAGACACACACATACATGTAACACGCATGTAACATTACAGCGCCTTCTGTCAAACAAACTCCCACGAAACCTGACCGCGAGTTGTACATTCATAACATCCACGAGTGGATGAGTGTCACAGCGGCCCCAGCGTCAGCCGCTTGTTGGAGCGCGAGGCAGCGGCGAAGGCACCTCGCCTCGCCTGGAAGCGATTACAAGGCTCGCACTTTATCTGTGGCACAGAGGTTGGCACGGGGGGGGGGGGGGTGCTGAGCAATTCGCAATTAGTGGCGTGTCCAGAGGCCTGGGGGATCGGGGGGGTGAGGGGGGCACAGTCCACCTGGTGTACAACATACCTCCCCCCCTAGCCGCTCCCGAAATAACAGCCCCCCTCTGAATCACAGCACCCCCTAATGCAATAGCAGCCCCCCAGTACAAACCCACCCACCCCACATTTATGTATCACCCAGTGGCGGATGCATGGAAGAGGCGATGCGGGGGCTGGGGGATAGGGGGGGGTTGGGTCTCCCCCACAATGTGTATTTTATTAATAGTTGCCAGAGAGAAAATACGAGGAATGATTAGTCGATTAATGTTGTGTCATATTTAAAACGCTTGACAATGTCCTTGACAATGTCTGACCCGCACTTCTATTGGGAAGTTTGTAGTTCAACCTATGACATCACGCCCTGTGATCCACAGCCCCTCTGATCCACAGCTCCTCTGATCCACAGACCCTCTGAGCCAGAGACCCCCTGAACCAAAGCCTCCCTCTCCCTTATCAGAGTTGTCAATTCACGCCAACCCCCGAATCCACAACAAACACTATAGGGGCAAGTGCTGTTAGCGAGCACCTATGAAGGCCCGCACGACACACGAAGGGGTGGGTGGCCAGCACCACGCCGTTCCGCCTTTGTCTCCCCAAGTGGCGATGTTTACACACCTTACCAGGTACTTATTTTAGGCTGAGTCGACCTAAGGCGAGGTAGGCCCAGGACCGGTTCAGATAATCGTCATTGGTGGTGGCCGTGAGCGGGAATCGAACCCGGGTCGCCGGGAATCGAACCCGGGTCGCCCAGCGCGCTAACCGCTACACCACCGCTCACACGCACAGACACACATACACACAGACAAGTCTCAGTGTATAAATAACACAGAGCGATGGTGAACAGGGATTACGAGGGGATTATTCTTAACTCGTGAGAATGATGCTGACACAATGACCATCTGGACACGCACGAGTCGAGCGAGGTGTGTGGGGGGGGGTTGACGCTGTCATCTCAGCGCATTTCGTTGTCTCGTGCCGGACATTGACCCAGCCACGTCCTGTAGAGGAGAGTTCCATCGGCGAAAAAAATAACTGAACACAACCCCCTGGCAAAAAAAACTCAAAAACTCCCGAGGCACGTCGACGACTCGGCGTCCGCTCCCTCTCGATGATGGGCGGACCACCGACAATCATCTGCGGTGCGGCCACTTCAGTGTCCGGTGCCTTGCGACGTCATCTCGAAAGCTAAGCAAGGGGGTTGGTGGCGTTGAGCCTGCACGGTTTCCTGCAGGGGTCCGGCTACCTGCTGCTCCCAGAGGCGCATGCGGCTCTTTAAGGACTGCAGTGCGGCAATAAAATAATGGGTCCACTTGTTATTTTGGTTGCTGACCCTTGCACATGGGAGTCCAGTTTACCGTGGAAGTCCAGTTCACCATGGGAGCCCAGTTCACCATGGGAGTCAAGTTTACCATGGGAGTCCAGTTCACCATGGGGGTCTAGTTCACCATGGAAGTCCAGTTTACCATGAAAGTCCAGTTTACAATGGAAGTGCATTTCACCATGGGAGTCCAGTTCATCATGTGAGTCCAGTTTACCATGGAAGTCCAGTTTACCATGGGAGTCCAGTTCACCATGGGAGTCCAGTTCACCATGGGGGTCTCGTTCACCATGGGAGTCAAGTTCACCATGTGAGTCCAGTTTACCATGAAAGTCCAGTTTACCATGGAAGTGCATTTCACCATGGGAGTCCAGTTCATCATTGGAGTCCAGTTAACCATGTGAGTCCAGTTTACCATGGAAGTCCAGTTTACCGTGGGAGTCCAGTTCACCATGGGATTCCAGTTTACCATGGAAGTCCAGTTCACCGTGGAAGTCCAGTTCACCATGGAAGTCCAGTTCGCCATGTGAATCCAGTTCACCATGGGAGCCCAGTTCACCACCCAGCAGTGGATTTACACCGTGCCGCACCTGTCAATGGCCCTGGCATATCACACGCGATTGTTCGTAACTAACTTGGGGTCATTTGATCGCCGTTCGCTCTGCAGAGGACGTGGACCGAATCTTTGCTAGTTTTGTCGCCGATGTTAAACGACTGTTTGGAGATCTCAACAGTTTTCGGAATTACGGAACGTTACGCTCAAGTTACAATGTTGTGCTAACTATATGTCGGGGAATTTTTTGAAAAGTATTACCATCGTGTTACCCTCTGCCCCAGGTGTCCCTCGGTAAAAGAGATGATTGTATCATCCTACAGTTGAAATAAACCCATTGCGTGAATACTCGCATGGTGGATGGCGTGATGTTTGTGTGAGTGACCCTTCCTTGATTAATGTTTCACGATGTACAGCAACTCCTTTGTTTATCTACAGCTCGATGAAGGCCTCCCCGTGCCGTGTCGGCCATGGGTATTGGTTTTGACCATACTTCACCACGCTGGTAAGTGCGGGTTGGTGGACGAGTTGGGGAGTTGAGGACCTGTTCAGATTAGATCACTCACCGCTGATAACTTTAACCGTGGCCGGGAATCCAACTCAAATGACCGGGTTCGTAGGGGGAGTGTGCTAACCGCAGTGCCACCGCTCCCCCCCCCCCATCCCCCCCCCATCCCCCATTAAACTTGTTAACGGATTAACAACTAACAACAATCTTTACTTTCAATTTACGAAATTGATTTCGCTAAGACGAATGTACTTTGCAAACCCACTGGCTATCAACAAAGATTCGTCCACGAAGCCATCCACATATACAGACACAACTTAAATCGAGAAGATGGGTACAAACTGAGTAATCATTGGAAGGACGCTATCAACCAGTTTAAGTCGTCATAGCTGGCTGTGATGTTCCCATCCTACCACCTTCCGATGTTAGTTGTTATTTTCGGCTCTCTGATTTTACATGAACAGGTTAAATTTCCCACCCAAACACAGCCAACTCGCTCGCCGTGCTCGACGTTGCTGCTCTGCGATCTTTCATGAACATGCTAATCTCTCACATTAACATAGCCACCTCCGCACCCTTGTGGACGTCACCCTCCGATCCTACATTAACATGCTAATCTCTCACATTAACATCACTAGCCCCACCCACTTCGTTTATGACCCTTGGGCTACACCCATTTTAAACCTTTAAAACAGACTGCCTCAGCAGCTTTCCCTCTCTGTTGTTTTCCTTCCTAATGACGAACGCTTGTGTTGCGATCGATACGTCGTAGTTTTTTGCTATTTTTTTATTTTCTTTGAACCCATCTACGTGACTTTAGCGAAAGACCCAAAGAATATTTAAATGCATCTTAAATTATTTACAAGTTTTCAGAATGCCGTTTGGGAAACTATTTGTGGAACGCCGCATCCATCTCGATCAGTCCACGCATAAACCTCATTATATATATAAGAAATGCAAATACACCTACCCATACGATTATCTGAATAGAGAACACAATGATAAAGCAGTGTTACGGACAGGCGTTCCTCTTAGGGGGGGTTAATGTGTATTCCAAGCGGGATTGGCGGCGTTCCGGATAGGAAAAAAAACATACCGAGTGAGAGATGAAGCAATGAATGGGTGGCGACGGGACGCTGGCAACGGGGCAGGTAGGACTCGTCCATAATTAAGGTTAAAAATCCTCACCGTACCGAACACGCGCACGCGAGTCAACAAGTCATTAAACATCTGCCCACAAGGATGGCGATGCCATGTTGACATTAACTCGAGGGTATTTTGGTCTCTGTTCTCTCAAGCTGGCCAGACATTTTGGAAGAAGAGGTGAGTGGGTGGGTGGGTGGTGGTGGTGGTGGTGAGTTTTAATGTGTGCCACGCGTGATAATGCGCACCCACACTCTACCCCACCGCACGCGACCAGCCGACTGGGGACTGAGTGTGGTGTCACGATTTGTTCTACTGCGTGGACGGCTTTCAGAATCTTGTGCCACTGTTTCAAGCGCCACGCCAGCAGATTGACTCGATCCGGAATCTGAATCGGACAATTTTTTTTGTACTGCGGGAGAAATCCGATTCGCCAGGAAGCTCGTATTTTTCATAGATGTCCAGTAGGGGCAGGTCAGAACGTTACAAAAATAAACAATACAAAGACAATAGGAGTGATGATGATTGCTTGTGTTGCAGTCGAAACGTCGTGAGAATTTTTTTATTGTTTAATGTTTATATTATTTTATTATTTCCCTTCTACGTGACATTACCGAAAGAACCAAGAATATGAATCCCTGCAGTCACGAAGGCTTTAAATCAAAATTTAAACAAATCAGTTGAACAAAAATATACAAATAAAACTGAAATTTTTTTTTCACCTTACCAGTGTAAATCCCACTGAGAAATTTGCTTATTTTTCAGAAGCGACCTGGCCACAAATGATATCTCAACGAAGTGGCTTATCAAGTCCGATGGAATAACCATTCCACCAGGTCAGCACCAAGTGTTATTCTTATTAAGATTAGTGCTGTGTTATTATTATAATGTTGTTCTTCTTGGTTATTTCGGTAAAGTCACGTAGAAGGGAAATAATAAAATAATAAAAATAAAACATAATATTTTATTTTATTATTTCCCTTCTACGTGACTTTACCGAAAGAACCAAGAAGATGAATCCCTGCAGTCACGAAAGCTTTTAATCGAAATATATTGTTGTTGTTGCGTATGGACCCCGCACGCATCGCATCTGGCCGTTGTATTCCCACTTCAGCGATCGGAAGTGTTTGTCCAGCTGACCCGTGGGTACCGACCGAAGCTCACGCAGCACCACAAGGAGGAGAGGGGGGAGGGGTTGAGGGGGGGGGCATGGAGACCGCCCCACAGCAGAACCTGTACCGCCCATTCCACTTATTGGGTCCATGCATCTACCCACTGCTGGATGAAGGCCTTCCGAAAACTGAAAGTGCACAAAGAAGCATTGACACTAATTACTCTGAGAGATATATATACATACACGCAGTATATACAAATGTATATTTATAGAGGCACACGTTAATTCGAGAACTTGCGCCAGGCGGAGACGTCAGATTGGCCGCTTGGGAAAGTGGCTCGGGCTCGAATGTGATGGTGGAACCTGCGGGCGAGACCACCAACGGAGGGGGCAGCCAAAAGGAGGATTCAATCCCAACCGGCCGCGTGGTGAGGTCCCACCAACGGAGACGGAGCGGTGAAATCAGCTCGCGCGGGCACCTTGCGCTGGGTGCACTGAAGATGCAGGCCTTCATCCAGCGGCGGATAGATAATGACGGCAGCTGCTGCTGCTGATGATGATAATGGTGATGATGATGATGCCGAGAACAAAGATGATTGCACGACAGTTAGAGTTGATGGTTGAATAGCGATAGGCGATTATTGCAAATTGATGTGCGCTACCGAACGGTACATTTTTTTGCGGGGCCGTTCAATTATTTAAGCGCTCGTTAGTGTGTGTGTGTGTGTGTTTTTGTGTGCGCAATTTTATGCGATTCGCTCGTTACAAGATTGATAAAGACATCCGATATCTTCTCTACCCCCCCGCAAAGCACAGCTAGACACGCGCACACGAAGCCGCGCGTGAATCAATGCGCACAGAGAACTGGCCCACAAGGCAGCGGATCATATATAATTCACGACTGTTGTAATTTGAAGCGTTATTAGATTTGCCAAAGTGCCATGAAATACTTCGCAGATTATATTGTGATTCCATTGTGTGCCCAAACGACTACTTTTTGAGCGTGTCGTGGTATTCACAGTAAGGTCCACTCAGGTCCGTTAAACACACACAGACACACACACACGTGGTTGGGTCGCGATTGGAAGAGTGTCTTGGTTGGGGGTCGAGGTAGGGGGGTTAAGAAGTGTCTCGATCTATCTGTGAGGATGCGTTGTCGAATTGTATCGGATTTCGCTCCAAGCGCTGGGAGCATCTTGCTTTTGTTTGTCTTTCAGGGCACGAAGAAGCCCTCAGCAAGCGGAAAGAAGCATCGGACATCACCGCCATGTGCCTGGCAGCTTCTTCGGGAAGTGAAGAAATGAAGGAGCTCCCGACACGCGGAGCGAAAACGTCGGACAACCCGCAAACAATCGTAGAGAGCTCTGAAGCGGAACCGCGAGAGCCTACGCGATGGTATGCACGTAGTTTTTCTCCAGAGCGGAAGAAAGGTGTGGGACCAAACCACCTTGTGTCACCGGGCAAATATGATCCCATCTCACGTTTGGACGGAGCGGGGGCGCAGGGACTTGGGATCGACGCGGTGACGTCATACGTCAGAATCGACGCGGTGACGTCATACGTCAGTTTCAAACGACACACTGAAACGATGTGTGCAGAAAGCACTCGGGGCCTCGGCGTGCATTATGACAAAAAAACATCAACAGTTCCCGTAGAACTGCATTGTCCATTGACCTCTTACATCCCGTTGGCCTGGAGGACCCGGGGGTGGAATGAGACACTCGATATTTTCCGGAACTCTCCTAGGGCCGGCTTTGATTATCGGCGTAAGGCACTACCACTTAGAGTACAAGCTACGGCTAACCCACAATAATCCTATAGTATTGCACCGCACATCCCTACAATTCTGCGGATAGGCTTCGGACAATTCCAAGGCGAGATGAATGGGGCATGCCAACACAACAGCGTCACACGGCTGTTTCCGGCTGAAATAAAGCCTCGGGCCTGTAAGGCAGCACGTGGCTCAGGGCGACGCGGAGAGGGAGGCATTGGGACACATCGCAGGACGGAACAGGGGAGTTGTAACGCGTGCCGACATCTCAAGTCACACGCCGCTGTCGCACACCTCGCGGAGCCGGGTTAGCGTCAGGGGTTTGCAGCCACAGCGTAACTATTCCGAGGCCTGTCAAAGACTCTCCTACACCAGCACCCCCGCCCCCCGGCCATGCGCGCAGAAATTGTGTGGCAAAGTGTTTGCACGTGATGCACGTGAGACACACGTGATGCACGTGAGGAACGCGTGCGTCACGTGATGCACACGTGATGCACGTGAGGCACGCGTGCGTCACGTGATGCACACGTGATGCACGTGAGGCACACATGCATCACGCGTGCGTCACGTGATGCACACGTGACGCACACGTGCGGCGGAGGCGGCGGCTACACACGCAGAACGGCGGGCACGTGGAAACGAACGAAGCCATCGGTCCACTGCTGGTCAATGCCGCCATACGAACGAAGCACTGCGGCTGTGCATCTAACTGAACATCTGTGGGGTGATGAAAAAAAAGAGCTTCATAGCTCATCGGATACCTCCAGAACGAATACAAAAAAAGATTCTGATGGAGATAAAACAATAAATATATATTTTTATTCTGATCAACCCGGCCGCATGAGTTATATTGCTGATCACGAGGGTTACTCACGAGTGACTTCGGAACGGGTCATGGGGTCTCGACCCACCAGCATCAACCCGTAAGGTCAAATAAAATGATTATTGGAACAGTGCGCTACTTTGAATTGCAGCTTTTAGCTGTGTCACAGGTGATCATTTCTATCTTGTAGCTGCGACACTTCGGAACGCGATATATATATATATATCATTATTAACACGGTATTTTCCAGAAGTACATAATACACCGCAGAATCGAAGCTTGGGGAGGCCTTCATCCCGCAGTGACTGCTGCTGCTGCTGATTAACACACTGAGCATCTTTGCAGGTTGGGTTCAATCCCAGGTGGTGGTGGAGTGGGATGGGGGAAAGGGGCGCGGTGGGGTGACCAGGGCTTTGCAGGCTATGGGAGAGAAGAGGTCCCCTGTTGGCTAGAGGAGTGACACTGAGGATGAGGAGGAGGGCGGTGAGAGGGGGGGGGGGCTTGGCACGGCCTTCCAGCCTGCACCTGTTTGCTCCCGACACAATGAGCGTCTTTGTTTTGTCCGCGAATGGGTTGAATGTCTGTGAACCTCCTCGTCCCGTCTCAAGGGCGGGCGGGCGGGTGCGGCGGTTTTTGCGGTTTAGCGTGCGGATCAGGGCGGCTCAAACCTCGAGGGTTCAACCCCCCTCCGCCCCTTCGAGGTTCGACGTTTCGCGGCTCTTTCCCCCACCGCTCAGATAATTGTCGAGGAACCGCACCGGCTTGGTTCGTCGCCAAAAGCCGAGCGCCAACAGTGCACGTGAGCGGCTCCACTTTAACGATGCTGCCCAGGGGAATTCAACTTCTCTGGCTGGCTTCGAGGGCAGGGGATTATCGGCGTAAGGCACTACCACTAGATTACGAGCTACGCATACAAACAATCCCATATTAGTGTACACTAAAGCCAGTATGAATATACGTATTTTTTATGGGTGCAATTGTGAACAACAGCCATAACGGACATCACTACACCTAATCGGCATAATAATTGGTTATTGAACATGAGTTGCACGGACTCGCACGGTGATTCGGCCAGTAATTAATCACTGACGCTGCTCGTGATGAAGTCACCAGCAGAGCTTTGCTTGTGTCGAATCAATGTTGCTGATATTGTGCAATCTCCCGGAAGGCCGTGTTGATTGTTGAGAAGTGGAAACCAAGACGTCTTACATCATGGGATCTATATCTTGCTCACTCCGAGCTATACATGGTCTGATACGTGCATTGGCTTTGTACTTGTTCGCCTTTTGGCGTTCTCAGGTTAAACACTGGTGAGACTAAGTCATAAAGAAGTCTTTCTATGGTGTAGGCCAATCAACTTCAAAGACAATTCATCATATATTACCAGAGCATGTTTAATTTGCATGTTCATCACAAGTACGTGTGGTTAATGCAGCACTTGATTCCTTTTAAAAAGTTTCCATTTGGTGTTTGAATATCTTATCAGAACTGTTTTATTGCCAAATAAGGTCAAACCTATTCTTATTTTTCATACCAATGCGTCTTCTTACTTTTTTTATGAACGTGGAGGCGGCATGTAGATGTGAAGGAAGCGTGCCGTCCTGATGATTTCTCGCGCGCTTAAATGGGATCACTTGCCGCTCCATCTCCATCGGCGGCGGAAAGAGGATCGTCACTCGGGGCGCTCGCTTGTGGACAGCTCACGCACAGCAGAGAGACACGGCGAGTGCGAGTGGCGTTGAAGAGCTGCACGCAACTGCCCGCTCCAACGCAACGCACGGATGGACGCGCCAACGCTGTCGGAACGGAGAAAGTTTCCAATGTAAGCTTAGAAAGCCCGATGAGCGACTGGGTTCAATTGTCAGAGGTTTCGAGTCCTCCAAGATGGCGTCGGACATTGGCGGAGAACTACAGAGGAAGTTCATCGTCAGATAGGCCGCAGGTCTCTACTGCACGTACAGTTACATGTTCCCCCCTTCCACAGAGGAAGTTACAAAGGTAGATCGATTAAACACTCACACATAGATAATAAGATTTTTTTGGGGGGTTAGATCGCGTAAATATATAAATTTGTCGTTAAACCCGCCACCACCCGACACAGCTAATTAGTAAGGGTTGTCACGTAAACAGAACGTGCCAATTCGTCACTAGTACAGCACTAACCGGTGTGTTGGAGAGCCAAGCCACAACATTTACAATCTGAGTACGACGTTTCGGCAGTAAATGCAACTAGCAACATCAAGCGACAGCCAAATTTGTGGAGAAGTCCACCTGTTACGCGATCTAACCCATCAACCCTGTACAATGGATGACATTGGTGGCGAAAGCCTACGTGTTACACTGGCTCACACGTAGACTCGATCTTAAATAAACTCGGCCATGCAGGTACTCGATGATACGTGAAGACAAGCGATACGTACACTCAACAATACACTCAATCATATGTGACCTCGAGCAATAGAACAATATATAAATGACTACACTTGGAATTCACTGTTGTCAAATAACATTAGCGAATTACAGTGGCATGTTTCTACCTTGAACTTCTTTCGCACCGTACGTATCCAACCATGCTAATCGGAGGTGCTCACAGTTTGCACGGGTCGCTTCCTTCCCACGTTTTCCTCTCCACATGAATGCATTGTCATTAGTTGTGGATTGTTCACCCTGACCACCGTCATCAGCCATGATTTATCCACTGCTGGATAAAGGCCTCCCGAAGCCTCCAACCGCCACCTATCACGGCTCCGCGATGACGCAATCCACGCAGGTGCCTGCACTCCAGCTGATGCCATCGCTCCATCTCCTGACGTTTTTACGTCCTCTCCGACACTTTCCATTCCTTGCGTGTCACTCCGTCATTACCCTTAACCATCCATGATCCCTGCTAGACGTGGTGTGTCCTGTCCTGGGCCACGCTGACTTTACTCGAGTGTGGAAGATGTCACGAATCTGTGTGTGTTCTCCAATCCACGTGGCCTCTCTCTGTCTCTCAATGCACTCAATTCCCAGGAAACATCTCTGATATTAAACGACGATTTAAAAGTTCAACTATTTTATTTCAATTATACCAGGTAATTGCTCACTCAGCTATGTTAGCAATTTTTTTAGAATCTAACTGGCCACAAATGATAGCTCAGCGAAGCGGCTTATCACGTGGACATGTATTTCAGCCAAATAATCTAAACGCGTGTTGCTGATTCTAAATGTGGAGGGAAAACGCGAAGGACGCGGAAAAAAATCCACGCGAACACAGGAAAAACGTGCAAACAACAAATATACAGGCGCCAGGGTTAGGATCGAATCCACAACCTCTTGTAGAACAGGTGAGGGAGTTTATATCCCACTACTGCATCTCTCGAAGCCCCCGACTGGATATCAGAACGAAAACATCGTACTGTGAGATGGTGATATTCCTACAAACGACACCACCACCACCACCATCATAACAAGCTCCTACGGATGCCCTTGTAATGAGTTCAAACCAGGGTACTAACTCGTCTCCCCACAACTACCCCCCCCCCTTCCACCACCACAACCACCAACTCATCTCACATCTCTCAAGGCCCCCTCCCCTCCTGGGGAGGCAGCGGCGGGCATGGAGACCTCGCTGAGTGTTCGCGCCTCAGCTGAGAGGTAAGTGTTCCCACAAGTGTCTTCGCTAGCGTCTGGTTTTGTGTTCAGTGTTTTGCCGAACTCTCCTTCCCACCACCCCTCCCCCCCCCAAACCACTACCCCCACTCCTTCCGGGAGTGCGCGATGATGTTGGTGATCATGCAAGCCCTTCGCGTTCCTCCTGTTGCGTGATGATGTGATGATGACCATGCAAGTGCTCAGAGTCTCTCCTCCTCGTATTTGGCCATCATCTGCTATCTAACCACGCAGCGTAACCAGCATCACGAAGCGACCTTGGAGCCTGTTGAGCTACATCAGCTTCTCTCTCTCTCTCTTTTGTTTAACGATCAGAGGAAACAAGAAGATGCTCGGTGTAGTCGGCACTTTGCTTCGTTCATCATTTATTTTTTTTCCAATGCTTTGCTTTATGTGCCCCCCCCCCCTCTCCTGTTTAAATGAAAGATGTCACGAAATATTTCAAGCTCTGCTTCTCTCTCTCTCTCTGTCTTTCTTCGGACGACCAGCCGCGAGCTCTCTCCCGACTTGTTGCCGGGGTCGTACCGCGTGTTGTTCGGCACGGTGCTCGACAAGTTGCCCTCCACGTGTTCGGGGATTCTTCATGAGCTGCAGTCAATGGGGTTGCCTGTGGTAGACGTTGCTGCTGCTGCTGCTGCTTCCGCTACGGAGCATGCACAAGGCGATGCAAGTGTCTCTGGCAAGGATCAGACACGCGCACACACACACACATTTGCACTATCTATCATCTTGTTGCATGGAGCACTGGGCACTATCATCAAGGTCCTTACCGCTCGCAGCGTCATTTGCAACACAACATGAATCCACCTGCTCTCAAACGTCACGCTCTGCGCTCCATCTGACAACAACGGGTCGCTCGCCACACCTCCAATCTCAACCCACGAGTCGGTCTGCACGCGCGACGGGGAGAAATTCCTCGGGGGCTGGTAGCAAAACGTCGGGCGTCGGCGTCGAACGGGCACGCGGGTACAAGCCCCCGAGAGGAGACCGACGCGGCGGCTGGGAGCCTCCCTGTGCCGCTCGCTCGCTCGCTCACGCCGGAGGAGGAGGAGGGCTGAGTGCGTACCATTTGGTTCGCATTAGAAGAGGCGTGGCATGAGATCGTTGGTGTTAAGAAACAAAAGGCCTCAGAAGCGGTGGACACCAATCCTTTGTTTTTTTGAGCTTCAGGAATTTGGAGCTGAGCTGGGTCCCCTGCCCGTCCACAAAACAGCCTCTCATTGTCCGCGGGAAACAGAACCCCTCACTCACGGAACGGAGAGAGAGAGAGAAAAAAAAACCCCGAGCAGAGCCCCAGGGGTCATCCTGCCGCACAAGGGAGCAAAGGTCGGCATGTTTATTTCATTGGCATTTGGGTGCCACTGGGAGCTGCTGCTGCTGTTACCGCTGCTGCTGCTAACGCTGTTGATGCTACTTCTGTTACTACTTCTGTTACTGCTGTTGCTGCTGCTGCTGTTACTGCTGCTGATAACGCCGTTGATGGTGCTGCTAACGCTGCTGATGCTGCTGCTGCTAACGCTGATACTGCTGCTGCAGCATCACACACACACACACAAAAACAACCTGGAGGGGCATCGCACGTGTCTGGCAAAGATCAGCCACACACGCACGCACAGACACACACACGCGTGTGTACAAGAGAACTTCTCACTCTGCACAGGACCTGTCCGGAACCAGAGCGTATACCCAGGGCAGGGCATGCTGGTGCAGTCGTCGCTTATTGAACATTGTGTGCTGCTGCCCGTATGTTTTTCATCACAATTTACGAGATGTCATTGTG